TTCCAAGTCAGTTCTAGAAATTCGAGTACAAAAGCAAAAAACAAAAAATTATCCTTCTCAATGCCTCAGTAAACAAATCAAACCTCACGAGGAGCCAAATTCATTGCCGCCTTTCAAAGTATGCACAATTTTACAACTCCATAATCAGTAGAAATCTAATTTTTTATCTTTTATGTATATACGTTATCTTTTGATACTTTTGCACTAAAGGTGCTTTCAACTTTTGATTTCAATTTCTAAGTTAGCTTAGGTGAGTCTGGAATTTTGGGAAATTGTGCTTTGCTATTTAATAAATAACTAGTAGATACTTTTATTTAAATTAAATAATGGACAATGCCTTCAACAGAATTCCAACATTCACAATTCTAATCTGTGCATTTTGGTACTTCGACAAGAGATGATGATGATCGAAATTTTGTCAGAGATCTAAAGGTTTACTTGAATGCCTACAATCAAGTTTGCACTTGATTCTAATCATTGTGAGTAACAGCCCTCTAGCCTTGGTTAAGCCACTCATCATCGGGGTGCGCAATAGATTTACCTCCACGTGGTACACCCTGGGCAACGTATACACATACGGTAAAAAAAATCTATTGATCGACAGTTGACATCTTACTTCAAACTATTATGGCCCAATTATTTGTTATATTCGACCCCTTACACAGTACTCATCTTACCTTTTTAATACCTTTGTGCCTGTCCGTCTCTCTTTTACATCTGTGAATCACTCTTCTGTTCCCCCTCCTCTCTGTGAAGCCTCGAAGTTAGCTCCACGGGTAATGATAACTATCAAAACGCCTGACATTTGATATAAATAAATGCCTATAATCATCTTAAACAAGAACTACTTTGGTTTCACATTGATCACAGTCCAGGTTGAGTTGCAACAAAATAACAGCAATTATGGCACAGAAACGGCAACCAATTCCTTGAAGTACGAGTTGAGCATTTTTGTCGTAATTTCAATATCCTCCTATTACCCCAACTCCACCCCTCCCCAAACCCTCCCAGCCTAATTTCAAGGCGAAAGGACTCAAACTTTATTACTAGGCGCCAAGCCAAAACAATTTAATTACAAGAAACAAAGCAATATGTACCATTTGGATCAGAGCGTATTACGTCCTCATCAATCGATGATAGCTGGGTTTCGTCATTGGTCTGCCCGAAATTCCACAGGTTCCAACGCCGACTTTACCATCCACATTTTCAGGAGAAGCGAATATGCTCCTCTTTGTCTTATGTTTGTTGTTGTACTTCTTACTGAAGTTCAGCCATTCATTCTTCTCAGTTTCGATAGCCTTTACCATTTCGCCTTGATGTTGCGCACGTTTCTGTTTCTTGAGTTTTTCTTTTCGATTCTTCGGTTCTTTGTTTCCTTTTTCGTCAGTTGCACCGGAGCTAGGTTAGAATCTAACGGTTTGAGATGTGCAATCTAGAATGAAATAAGTTTCCAACATTAGAAAGCTAACATTAACAAATAGAAAATACAGATAGCTCAGTGGTGACATAGAACTCTTAAATTACTCAGTAAAATATCGACTTCGCCACCAAAAAGAAAGGTAAAACACACAAATTTTATAAAGAGAGCAAGATACACGCTTTGACAAATCTAATTACCTAGCAGATATCTGCTGTATCATAATCGAGGAAGTTAACTGCGCAAGAACCATTATCAAGAATTTCGAGAATGCTTGCTTTATAGAAGAGCTTGTCGCGTGTGCATCTAGCCATGCATGTATCTCCCACTTTCCAGGCACTTTCTTTAGTAGTTGTATCTTCACCCACAAGTTCCTGTGTGATACGGATGGCTTACTTCAAATTTTCCTGCAGCATCTTAAGCTCTTCATTGCCCTTATCTAGCTTCAATGATGCTTCAACTTGCTGGAGCTGAAGTCTGTTGTTGACGAGCTGTAACCTTAGTTCATCCATCACAAGAGCAAGAGCCGAAATATGCGCCGAATCCAAGTGCATCCTTGATAGGCTTAAACTTGACAGACCTAAACAAATTTAATATTAATTTAATATATTGTTTATCTTAATCGTACAAGATATAATTAAAATTAAATTAATTGATTCATTTTGTATTTTGATTTCAAATTTTAAATTTTATTTTGGAATAAAATAACTGCGGTACTTTATCGATATGAATGGTAGCAATTGTAAAAACCGCGTTGCAACACCTAGTTATAACCAAATAAGCCGTCACTTTAACTCACTTCAGAATCCAAAAAGGGTTTGCTGCATTAACTATTTTGCGGTAATTTCTCCAACAGCGTTTCATTTTTTCCAAATGAAAGAAAATATCTAGCTACTTGTGTGTATTACCGTTATTGGAAAATGTGTTTAGAATAAACATTTAGAGTAATTAAAGCCGGTGAGATTTGAACTTCCGTTTCATTAGACATTCTTATAATAATACGCGTTATTTAATAATATAAATTAACTTCAAAATGTCTTGCTTTTAATTCTAGAATTAAATAAAAATTAAATCAATTTATTTTAAATCTTAATTTTTTGTCTACAATCATACATTACACCTTTATAAATTCAACACACCATATTCTATAATTGCATCGTACAATTTTATTACCAGGTAAAATGAGACTGCCATGAGATCTCATTAATTTTTCATTAAAAAATTCCATTCAAAATAGTGTTTTTTTAAAATGTTGAAAAGACAATGAGTATGTTCCTAATAAAGTATGCTTTATTAATGAAATTATCTACACAACTTATTTGCTTCCCTTTGTTAATTTTATGAGCATTTCATTTTTATTTAATTTTATAACGTGCATTATCTTTAAATCTTATTGTTTTTTATTTTACTTGAAGCTACTTTCGTAGGTGCTCCGTTATCAGTATACGGGAATGCTCAGTAGCTTCTCGTACAGGATCAAGTCATCTTCTATGATCAAGGAACGTATTATATTGCCTATAAAAATACATTTTGTTCAATTTGAGTAAATAAGTTACTTTTTTCAATGTATAGGTTATTTACAGCTCATGATGTTGAGGTGTATGTCATCTAAATAAGTCAATAATGCGGGCATCTGTGTGGACGGAGATGATTGCATTTAGCCTCGTCCCTCAATCGTATTTAACAGAGTTCGCAATAACTGACGCAAGATTAACGCATATAAGGGGAGTTAATTATCGACCTCTTGGCAAACGGTTGAAGGATAATGGTTCAATTAATACAACTCAGTGTGTCTGTTTATTAAAAAGATCGAATAAGCATTATTGTATTCTTCTAACCTTTCAAAATGTATCACATTCCATGTGCAGAACATTTTTCTTTTTACTTCCTGCTCACTAATTCATTAGGTCACAAAGATGCGGGAAAGTAACCAACCATACGCTCACCTTAAAATCCTTCAGTAAACATATCATTTCATTGCCGCCTTTCAAAGTATG